AGTTCGGCCAGTCCTGCTATACGGTGCAGAAACTTGGCCATTAAGAAAACAAGATAAAGAGACTGTCGGCGTTTGAACACCGCTGTCTACGCAGCATTGCACGAATCTAGTGGGGTAGCCGGATGAGCAATGCTGAGGTGACGGGTAGAGTTTTGGGTTAATGCGGTCGTCCACTGGAGCAAGTGGTCGACCTCCATAGAGTACGTTGGCTGGGACATGTGTTACACATGTCACCAGGTAGGTTACCACGGCGAACGATGTTCGCCGAAGCAGACACCGAGTGGAAAAAAGCCAAGGGTGGTCAAACTAAGACCTGGCACGAGGATATGAAAACCCTAACCAGGAGGCTGAGTCGCATAGGTCCTGTTAGGCTCCCTGGCTGGGGACCTCGGGATGATCGGAACCGATGGTTAGAGACACTGAGTGATATGGCTGGGTGTCGCAACCAGTAGCGTTCGTGCATCTTCGCAATCTCTTTGCAACCTTAGACCACTGAACTTCTCGAATTTCTTTTCGACTCCACTTTCAAGTTTCCTTTCTTCTCCTATTCTTCATCCCAATGGGCACCAAAAGACAGCAAACAAAACCGGCACTCGAATATGCGTGGTTAATGGTTGTTCAAACTGAAAACTGAATTGTTTGACTTCGGCTTCGATAAACTTGTAATCGGAGACTGAGTGACGGCGTGATTTCTTAGCGATTGGTGGATAATTTAACGCTAGATTTCTAAACAAACATACAGAGAATGGTGGACAATTGTCATTAAAGTGAATGATCGGAGGTTAAGGGTCCAAGGTGCCCAATACACCTCAGTACCTTTGAACATTGTATAAGCCGGGAAAGTGTGTGGTTTATACGCCTCTTCTTGGTTGGTTTGGAATCAGGGTTTTAACTAATTCCCTTAGGTGAACTGTCAGTGATTCACCGATCGGTTATGATCCTATATGTTGGCTTTTCATCCTCTCACTTTGGTGGGAAGACACCTCCGCGCACGTGAAGGCAGTGAGAATGGCTTCCTCAGCTAGGGCTTTTTGAGCTGTGTAGGAGCATTTTGCAAGGTGCAACGGGTGGATGACCAGTCACAGCCACGACGTCCACCCTCACCCATACTGAGGTATTCTGAAACTGGATTTTATTGAAATTACCCTAAAATAATGCTTTGATTGGCAGTTTTGAACACCGAGAATATATTCTTGGTATTCAAAACTGGAGTTGTATTTTCCTACATTTTCGTTGCAACGTTCACTGGTGAGAACTGCGCCATCCTTTACGTACATAACAACGGCAAACTTGGTTCAAAATTTCTGTTGACAAATGTTGAAGTAGTCAGTTGCTGAATAAGGTTAACGAAACTTTGAAACGACATAAAATGGCATCTGCATTCTTTTCCCCGGCACTGATGACACTAGTTCACATTTACCGTATATGCATTGCAATCTTGGAAGTAACCATAGGTTCATGCCCGCATTTCGCTTGTAATCGATGATCGTTCTTTTCCTGTGAGTTGTCAACTCTACATAATTCTTGCACCTGTTAAATGTAATCGGTTTTTTAATAATAGTATCTATCATCTTTCAGTTCACTTTAAACCCCGGACATCTGAATCCTGATTTCCGAGCCTCGTAAAAGTCACCGGGTTTCGCAGAGAGTCACTTACTCGAACAATGCTGCCTGTTAAAAAACTGGCTTCCATTAGTGCCAGTAGCCGCCGTATATGGTGTGTCGCATGGTCCCATAAGGGCGACATTCTAGGATCTTGCGGAGAAGATAAGTCAATTACCTTGTGGACTGCTGCCGCTGATGGTATTTGGGACCGCAGTTTGGTTCTACCCAATAGCCACACTCGAGCTGTGCGTCGACTGGCTTGGTCTCCTTGTGATCGGTACTTAACGTCCGCTAGTTTCGATACAACCATAATCGTCTGGAAAATTTTGAGGACCGAAAATGATATTGAGGCGGAAGCTTTGGCTACCCTAGAAGGTTCGTTTTCATGGACTGAGTTTTATCTCTTTGTTTGCTTGTGCTTGATCAAACATTTATTTAAGGGTGTTTTCACAATGCTATTTATTCTCCTCGCTGAAAGGGAATTGTTTCTGCAGCCTCATCTTGAAAAGAAAAGCAATATTAATACTTTCAGTCGACCTTTCCTGCAAATTNAAGACTTTCAGTCGACCTTTCCTGCAAATTCGATGCTTTCAATCAAATTCTGCACGCTTCTTTGTTTCCCCAACAATATTCTCGTTTCTGGTTGCTACCATTTTTTTCGTGCATCCGTATCGCAAAATCCTTGTTCACCTATTGAGGCCTTATGTGGTTCGCCACTCCAAGTCCCGGGGATCAGTTTACCGGTTACCATCACTGAGCAGCAGGTCTTCGTGACTATGGGGTCCTCCCCGTCTGCTGTTCATCACATACGTACATATATGTATACGACGACAATTGTTCGCCCATCGACTGGTTTTCTCAACGCCGTCCTGGTAATATTCAGTGTTAATAATGGGTAACCAAAAATAAACGTTACCGCCCACAATGCTCAAACAACCTTTTGCTTTTGAATGATTATTGAGTTTAAACGATAACTTTCATGATGAAAATACCTGGTTATAGGCTTTGAGGGTCCTGTTTTTGTCTCATCTGGACAATTAATGAGGGTCTTGTAAAGAGGTTGTTATCTGATTTTCTGATTTCTATCTCATTGTGTGCTAGATGCAGAGCTAAGGACTTGAATCATCGACCACAGCAAGACTCTATTTAAACGCAAACGTTATTTTGTGATTGGGTTGCATTTATTTTTTTAGAACCCGTGAAACTTTAAAATAACAATCAAACTTTCAGATTTACCAGAACTAGAACACAACATTAATGTCAGTTAGTCTCATTTACATTTTGATAGAATGTGATAAAAATTATCGATTAAGTGTGCCGAACAGAATACTTGAATTTAAATGGGGTTGGTTGCGTTCAAAATAGAAATTAATTAGTCCACGCGATCGCTCTCAACTTGAATTCAACAGCGGATGATATTACTGTTTTATTACTGCCTATTCTTCTACAGCTCATTTGCTTCCTATTATCTTTACTTATTCAGTATCGTTCAGGAGCATTTTCATGTTTGAAAGATTAATGATCTTGGACGTGATTACCCTCATAGTACAAGTCTCTATCCTTCTTCTGGCTAGTACCTATGGTTACGGAGCCTGGTAATACAATGTTTTACAGTTGAAGACAAATACCAGCAGTTACCGTTTTATATTGTAATTTATGCAGCTTTGATTCTGCCCAGTCCGTTCAATTATACCCAGGACACACTAGTGAAGTCAAATGTATTGCCTGGTCACCATCGGGACGCTTGTTGGCCTCGTGCGGTCGAGACAAGAGTGTCTGGCTTTGGGAGTTTGATGAGGAAGAAGATGTACAATGCATCAGCGTGCTGCAACCTCACACTCAGGATGTGAAGTGCGTCTCTTGGCATCCATTCGATGAAGTGAGTTGAATATTCCGTGATTGTATTCCTCAACGTTCCCATTTAAGAAAAAACAAAACGTCGAATAATACGCGTAACCACAATACAATGCTATTGCTTAGTCTGTTGATTATCGGCAATCCTAATTGGGTGACCAGTTTCGTGCCTTCACACATTAGTTTTTGCGTTGTTGAGTGAAGTTTGCACTGACTGTTGATGAATTCGTGGGACTTCTAGAACAGTGTTATCTCCCTTGGTTCTAGGAGTGACGATTGGATGAGTTTACCAATTCAGCGTTTTCCACAGTATGTATTGTAATCTGTTATCATTGACCCACATGTGATAACTTGTAAGAGTCAACTTCATGGTCACAGGTGCATAATCTTCGGAATCTTCGGAATGTGTGCTATTTTTCGTTTAAGTTCTTAAATATTTTTTCCCTTAAAGGAGTAACGAAGTCGATGGAAAACATAAATAGCGTTCCTGTATGGCTCGCCGGGTTGCAGAGATTGACAATACTTCATACTGCACTTCGGTGGATTGTATGTAGATGTTTTATGCTGAAAAGACGTTTTGCCCAAAATTATGAACGAATAGATATTACGTGATTAGTTTATAGTCTAACAATTTAGCAATTTATTTAGGTTAGAATATTTTCAATAATTTGCGTATTTACTGTGCACTGAATGAAAAGAGAATAGAAATTTAGAATACGTGTG